GAAGGTCTGTTTTGGCTCATAGATAAAGTAATAGATTCTGTCAACGGCCTCACTCGAATACATCTTATTTTTCTTTTTCTTTCCCTCGCTGTACGTAAATGCGAAATTTTATGTTGATCGCTCAATCGGATTATCAAGTAACTTATACGTTTATAATATTATGAAAATTGGATAGGTTCAAATGATAATGATCGACATTTTTTAATGATATTTTTTTTTAAATGAATTATCATACGAAAAATGCTGTATGATAAATCCCGTGAATTGTGGGAATAAAGCGAGATCAAACCTTTGTGGTGAATAGGTTATCAGCTTTCTTTTAACATAAATCAAATATTGATTTTTCCGGAAATTGGAGAAGGTGAACACTGCAATTAACGCGAAGTCAATAAGAAATTAGTACATAATCATAGACATAGACATAGACATAACATTTATTACAAACGAAAACACACACACATAAACACACAAAATAACAATACTTAAAGAAAAACATAAAACAAGACATCAAAAACAATAAAAATTAAAAATAAAAATTAAAAAATTCCCTTTTGCCATTCGGTTCGCTTCCAGTGTGCAATCATTTGATTTGTATTTGACTAAAATAAACTTTGTAATGCGTATTCCCTGAAAGCCCATAGACGAACGTGTAGTATGAAAAACATAATGCTATTTAAATATTTTTTCATAAATAATTGGTATTCGTTTCACAGGACATATCTTTCACTGTTTGAAAAATTTATATTTCGCAAAATAAAAAGCAAAGTTACTATGTTAATAATTGTTTTCTCTTTGACCCAAATTTCAAGTTGAAGAAATAATGTCTCTAGTGTAATGGATCCGTATAACTTGACAAGTTTATACAACTTTATCGATGGCTAAGTAAATACAATGAAATTTAAGATTCTATACAATGTAGACAGGTTATTTGAATATTTATTGGCTAAGACATAGATTATGTCGTATTCTTCTACAAACATTGTTTATGTATATCTTCTGAGCTACATCATATCCTCTGTTGTAGCTTGCTGTACATACAATTTTTCATATAACCTAGGGGTTGTGCAATACCCCTATGCCGAAGAGATAAGGCGAGATCAAAAAGTATCACATGTTTGTTTTTTTGTAAAAAAAAAAGTAAAAATAAAATATGTTTATTATGGAACATAAGATACAGGTATCACTCATTCCAAGTTCTTAAATTTGTATCGGTAGACATCCCTACTCATCGGCAAAGGGTGTACGCCCAGAGAATAAGCCGGCGTAAAAGAAACTCTCGGTACTCTTTTAAAATATCAAATCACCGTACAAAATGTCTATGGTAAACATGTATAAAATTTAATCTATAACTAGACATCCATAAAAAAAACTAGGTTTCGCACTAGGGTTGGTAATCATGATCCGTAAACATTCAAAAATTTTGAAAACAGCGTACGAAGGAAAAGTTTTCGTTTTACCGTTTTATCCCAAATTCTTTGCAAATTCGAATACCACGAAAATGCTTTTAATTTTTAAGTAAAAATATAACTAATGACACTCAAATAACGTGGTAATGATTTATAAAATCGGTTTAGTACATCCAGCGATTACCTCCTACAACCTCACAAACTTGACTCTTTATAGATAAATATTAAAAATATTTATTGCTTTTTCTTTATATATATATGTATATTTTTAAGTTCTTTACAATATAAGTTTTTTAATAGAAGAACACATTAACAGTTCTCTCCAACAAAAAATAACGTTTCATTTTAATTGAACCTTAATAACCTATGAGGGCTTTACAAGGTGGCGCAGGCATACATCGTTTAAAATAGGAATAGAAAACATTAAAACTCCATGCTGATGTAAACAGTGTGGAGTGCTTGATCCGCAATTACCCATTATTACATTTGAGCTTGTTATTCTTATAGTTATAATAGAAATAACAGTATATATATTGCAATCTGTAAATTATATTGTACGGAGAACCTTTTATTAATTTAATTGTATATAACCTTGGTACAATAAAGGGAACTGCCTAAATAATCAATTTTGTTCTATCAATACCACCTACGCGTCTTCAAGTTACGTCTTATGCCATCTGATATTTCCGTTTAATGTCTATTATTAAATATATATTTTTATCATTTAATCGAACAGTGGTTTATACTTTTAATAATGAAATTATCATGAACTCGGACATCAATACATAGATGTTTATTGTAAAGTTTAAATACAGAAAGAAAAGGTGTGGTTTAATGAAATTACTTTTTGTTATTTGAAAAAAAATACTCATATGAATTTATAACGAATGTAATTGATGTTAAGAAAAGATATATAATAGTTACATATTTTTTATACTTCTATAGCATTTTATATAATATGTTATAAGTACCTACTTAACACATAGAATTCACATCCACATCCAAAACCGAAAGAATGAAGAATATCTTTAAACCTTTAACGTGCTTTACGAAACAAAAAAGATTAGAAAAAAATTACCTATCTGAGTTTGGCCATTTATTTCCGGCCATCACGCGTTCTTAGCCATTCCTTATAAATCGAAATAAGATCGCGGGAAAGATATATTGGTGATTATCCCGTAAATAGATGACGTGTCTCATGTACCGTAGCCTTATTCATTAGGAGATATTAATAACCATATAATTGCTACTCTAAGCAATTTTCCACTCATTATCTTAACCGTCCGTACACATTTTTAACTAAACAACAATTAACAATCTTAGAAGCAACAACTTTGTTTTTAGATTTTTGGACGAAGAAGTATTAAAAAAATTATTTTGCGTGCTATTTCTTTCAATTATCGATTTTTTTTTAATTTGAATTTTGTAATACATTGATTGTTTTATTGATTGGTAATTGTGAAAATTTAAAAAAATGCGTGTGCACATTCGAAAATATTAGTTACTAAAGTATGTATGTAGTCTTGTAAGAATTATATTATTTCTTAGTATAACAATAATTTAAAAGGAAAATTATTATAAACAATATAACCTAATTCACTTTATCGATAAATTAAAAAGAAAAAATCGTAGTCCAAAATAAAATCGTTTTGGTATTGCTTTAGGATTGTGTCGTCCCTTTAAATGTAAGGTTTAATAACCTATGACCTTTTCCCAGGTGTTCTCAATAGAACCTTCTATTATTAGCGCGTGGGTTGCTATATAAATTATAAAGCTCTGAGAGAATTATCAGTATTCGTATAGACGCCACGCAATCGGGAAGGCGTATAATCGTAAAATTTTCTTAATATTATAACAGGAAATAGTATTAAAAGTTTAAGTGTCACTTAAAAAGTAAGTTTCGTTAATGATATTTTTTATTGACTAAATAGTACTTAAATATAAACGTTAATACAGCTAAAAAGACGGTCTAAGACAGTTAGGACTAGCTAAAATGGAAAACTCCGAACTGAGCCTGTTTTTTGGAGTTACAATTTGAATCGCTTGTGTCTATTTGTTTTTAATTCCGCATGAATTTAATTTGTTTGACTACACCTTAAACTACTTACTTATTAATACATTATATATAATTCTAAATATTCTTTATAATGAGGTTATGATTCTGTTTAGTTCATTTAAGTAATGCTAAACTAAACTAAGTTGTCACACTTCTTACATTGAAAATCCAATTAAAATTTCTTCGTAAATTTCGGTCATAGATTTAAAAGAAAGTTAAGATAAGTGGTTGTAATAAAACAAGTGTAATGAAATTTATCGGCGTCCGACCTATTTTCACCACAATCGATTCAAATTTAATCGTATAATCGTCGTTCTTTAAATTTGGCATAAATTATTGAAAAGTGATGTGGCGTTTAAGTGGAATTTGAGATTAAAGTAATATCTCTTATGTTTCAGCTAAAAAAAAAGTTACTTAGTCTGTTTTAAGACAATGTGTACGTCTTGTAATATTGATAATTCAGCAGTCATGATGTAATCAGCTAAAACTAGCATTTTCCTTTGATGATATATCCATTAGAATCTGATGATTTTTTTTATTATGTAGGTAGCGTGTAGACCCCCGCAAACTGCGATTCGCCTTAATATAATTTTTTTCTCAGCCAACCCTTTTAGTAGCTACATAACCAATATATGGAACCTTTTCCTATGCTACCCATAGACTGTTCGCTTTTCCGGAATAAAAACAGTTTTTTGGGTTTTATCGTGCAAAATATCTCCATAAAAACCTACCTCGTCTAGCCGTCTTCGACTTTAGCGCGTAGCAACAAATTTTGCGATTCATTTTTATTTTTAGAGATTCATTATTCTTATTTTTGTATAGTGATTAAATTTTGTGACATTTTAAACCCTTACCTATTAACCATCTGCCGCTTTACCACATACGTCATCAAACCAGAACGAAAGAAATATCGGCGCCTTTAATGAAAAATTTAACAAATCTAGGATTCCGTGAAAGACGTCCAGTAGAAGAGTAGAAGTCCGTGTAACTTGGTGGGGCATATCGTGGCTATGCCTTTACTGATTGCTCTTGTTGACGTTAAATGCTTATTATTCATTTATTTAGCATAAAGTTATGGTGTGACAGCATGTTTTTCCATTGCGAGAGGGGAATTAAGACACCTAAGAAAACACGATCAATTAGTAATTTCAAATGTTTGTCCTTCTAATGTTTTACGTAACCTAACATAATATATATCACTATAGCTTATCTTCCTGCGTAAAGTTGAATGTTTTTATTTAATTATTACCATAAGAATAATATTATATTAGCTTGCATTCCAGATCATTGTGTTCTTTACTTTGCAAGACACTGTAATTGAAAACAGCACTATATCATAAGGCTTAGGCTTTTGGACTTGGCATTTCGTCGATAATCAGAATGGCCTTGACATTAACGTGCTGACTCTACCAATGCTAAAAGAGTTTGTTTTCAATTTGGCGCATTATTTAGTAATTAAATTAATCTATTGCAGGCGCCGAGATGTTCCGAAGGCGCGGTGCCGATGGCGCGGGCTAACCGCTCTCGGCTAGGCGCCCATGCGCGCCTGCCTGCTCGTGTGCGCGGCGCTCGCGCTCGCGCCGGGCCCATGGGCGCGCGCCGCCGCCACCACGCACGAGCCCGCGCGTCTCCAACACATCAAAACACAAATTTTAGCCAAGGTATTTATAATAAAACCAAAATTCTAAGACTTTTAGTATTGGCATAAACACATTTATTGATAAAAATTTGGACACTCATAAAATGGACTTTTCACAAATCTCATGTTGCTATATTGTACAACTATTGTGTGCCTTCGTAGAGGCTGGCTTCTAAAAATGATTCTATATAAGGACTGAGGAGAACTGTAAAAACTTGACAATGGACTGTCCATACATCATACATACATACCAATTTCAAATATAATTTTAATAGAGATTCTTGTCAACCAATAATTTTTTAAATTTAACACTTTAAAGTAAAGCTTATTGATTATTTAAAATGATTTTAGCTGGGTTTATCATCACGTCCGACGCCACTGGGGACTCCCCCACGTGACGTCGTCCGCCAGATCCTGGCGCGAGCGGCTGACCCTTACCCTGAGCCTCCACAGGTCGAGCACAGCATGAGGGAGATAATCGCCATCGCGCATAGAGGTGACGTTGGGGTCTATTTAGTCAAATGTATGCTAGCATTGGTTTAGAATTAAAAACTTACGTAAAATAAGTATTCGCTTAACGACCGCCGTATAAAATCAAATCATTGAAATGGCTAAAATAAAAATAAATGGATTCAATAGACGACAATCAGACGTCAGGATTTTACTTACGATTTCACCAAAATTGCTGACCATTTTCCGCTAAATCTTTTTATTGAACCAGACGGTTCAATTTAACAAATTTCTAGTCATAAGAAAAATATGTTGGTATAAGTGATGCTGAAATGAAGAATATATATTATTCATCTGAGCAGACGATGACTCGACAGAAATATCGATATAAGTAAACTCGTTCGAAGATAAATTAATTTAGTTGTATGAGAATTCAATACGAAAATAACTGTATTTCTTCACTTAAATATAATAAAATAAGTAATTGTAAAAACATTATCGGATGGGAGTAGTTATTGTATCTTTTTTGTTTTATTACTTAATATCTTTTGAATATCTGGCTGGGTATTCTTAAGATATTTTTTATATTTTATAAGATGAACCAGGCGTTTTCTACCAATTTTTTTCTTAACTCGCTCCTATTTACATAAACTATTTGATATATTTCTTACCAAAGTTATTCTAGCCTCAGCAGCTCTGAATTGAGGTGAACTACTTAATCACAACTAAACAACGCTGGAAGAACGTCACATCAGAGTAAGTCATTATTATGATATAAGAATAAAATTATAATACGAAATGTTGATAGTATTTCTCATAGTTTTCATTAAAATTATATGTCATCATTATCATTACGCATTACGGAAAGGAAATATCAACAATTAAGCTTTAATACGTATATAAAGCCTTTAATAAGCAGTAGCAGTAGTGGATTCAGCATGCGACTCTCATCCCCGAGGTTGTAGATTCGATCCCCGGACACACAAATGGACTTTCTATGTGCGCATTTAATACTTGCTCGTACAGTGAAGGAAAATGTAGTATAAAAACCGGCGCATGTCTTAGACCTAAAATGTCGACGGCGCGGGCGTGTTTTCTAATAGGCATAGAAGGCTGATCACCTACTTGACTATTAGAAAAAACAAATGATCGCGAAACAGATACAGTAATCTCAGGCCCAGACCTAAAAAGATGTAGCGTCCCTGGTTTTTAATAGATGTTTCCATTAACCGAGTCTTTAGCGGTTAAAATGATAAGTGTGGCGGTTTTGTGTTGAAAATTTTCACTAATATCATGATAACAGATTTCATGTGGCAATATAGCTTTACATAGTGTATGGAAATTAATGACTTATTTATTTTATTATTATTATGAAAGCCTACTTATTATTTCAACTATTTTAATGAGTACATACACGTTATCAGTTGCTTATTCTCAAAATGTAATTTCAGGTATAAACAAGAATAGTTGGGTAAATCAACAGAAGCTATATTTTATTGGTAAGTAAAAATGTATTTTTACCAAAGATTTTTTATTGAATAGATATGAAAAATATTAGATATCGTAACTGCAATGTACAATAAAATGGCGGAGTCCTTATTCATAGTTAGAAAGAAAATAAACCCGGCGTTATTACCACGGCATTGCCAACAATGTTAGATTTAATAGAAATTCTCACAACTTTCTTATTGCTGCGTTCAGACCAAATACAGTTTTAACACCGAATGATATACTTTGATATAAATGTGGATAGAACTATGACTAAAATGTTATATAATATCTTCACATACTAAATTTGTGTTAAATTGTTTCATCCAAAGAAGTCATTTATATTGTCAATATCTTGTTATTTTGTTTACGGATTAGAAATTTTGGGTAAGAAGCCATCAGTGATTTTGTTAAAACTGCTTAAAGTGTTTATGAATTCCATATTCCTATTAGAGCGAGTGGTCAATTTTCTTGTACTGTATACCTCATTACTGAAGTCATTAGCTACTAAGAATATTGTTATACTATTGTCTATGTCCAGACATTATTCATATAATTAATGTAATATTGTGTTTATAATTAACGTTCGAAATTTCTTCGTCGTCCCCGCATTGCGTAGCGGTCTTAAGATTCAATGGTTATAAAATATGAATAAATTGATAATTGAAAAGCGTTTTAGGCTGCGCGCGAGGCTTCTTCTCTGACTTTATTAGATCAAACTAGTATAAAATATTAAACAAAAACATTGTTACCAAAAAGTAAAATCTAAATCTTTTCAACTCAAGAATTTAATGACAAAAAAATAAACTGAATTAAATCTAAACTGACTACAAATATGCACTCATAAAAAAGACCGCAATGCATGAAAAAGTAAATGACGCAATGATGACCATATAAATGGTCATCACTGATTACCTAACTAATTGTACTTTCCAAATTTAAATACATGAAGTCACTACAAAAGACACCAAAACCACTATTAAAACTAAAAAAATTAAGGAATTTAGAAAAGAAAAATAAAAGACTAATAAATTAAACTGTATTTTAAATGGCATTTTAATAGCATTATAAAAAGAATCAATAAATAACTATACGGTTATGACCACGAATATTACACGCGTGTTAAGTATGAACAGAAATTAGCTACATTCACATAATTAAGTACATTGAAAAGCGCCTCTTTATCTCAAGCAATATAATAATATTGCGATTCAGAAACGCAACGACAAAACTACAATAGCTAGTAAGTAGCTCGCATTTACAAAAAATTCATTGTTCATACAAGTTTTTATTTTTACTATAGATATCTTTGCAGAATGACTGCAGTTGGGCGCCCGCCAGCCGCTATGTGCTGCCGCTCGACGTACTTGCGTATAAGTTTTTATAATAAAAAATATTTTTCTCAATAAAACAATTCGTACGCATTAGAACGCTTTTAAAATGGCATAGTCGGCGTCAGTTGGTTCTATACAGGTAATATCAACGAACGAAGTTAAAAGTATCTGGTTTAGGTCGTGATTGTGTCGATAATAAATTCAAAAAAACGTCTATTATGTATACTAGGTATGTCTTATTAAAAAAAAACACTTACAACAAACAATAATATTAATTTTAAATTTGATACATCACACCCACACATCCTTGAAAACACTCAATAGTTGACGTCCTGTAACCTCATCAATTTCAGTAAAAACTATAACTAATTAAGCAAAATTAATAGGTTATATACATAGTATAAAACATTACATATAAATTAAAGAATATTAAAAAATATTTAGACAAGCGATACTGTTCACGAAAGGCGGCATGTTGTCACGAGGTTTGGATAGCTTAGGTTAATTAACGATAAAAGGTTAAGATGTTACTTTGCTGATAGGTTTTTATATATAACTCTTATTATAGTTTTATGCCATATTATAAACATTTTCTATTTAATAGTGGATTACAATGAATCACAACATTTCCTCTAAAATATGACCAAGAACTTAAAATATAAACAAGTGGTTCAAGGGTTCTGCTTCTATATAGGGCACATTGTGACATATGCAATTTATTGCTACTAGTGTATCCTCAATTAATCTTGATAAAACTTGGCTTTAGAAACCTACGTTATTTGATTACATAATATTTATATTGTAAAAAGAACTGCATACTATATACGGTATTGTATGTAGACATACCGTATATATTTGGTATAATACTTAGTCTTAACTTGACCTATAAGAAGCCAACAATACAAACAAATGTTTAAAATTTAAGTCCGAAAAATTCTACAAAGACATAAACTCGGTAATTTATAGGCCAGACTTAACTCATTTGGAGTACTCGGTCGATCTAGATGGCTAGACTATTTCTAGCCAAAATGGCTTACTTAACAAATTCTGGAACTTTTCCATTTTTTGTACTTCTCAAATGGCCGTAATCTTCAAATTAATCTTATGAAATAAATTATTGTACGAGGCTGCGCTGGCCTCTGATGTTTACAAACGCCTGCTTGAATAATTCAACAAAATTGTGTTTTGACGTTGCTTGCGTGTTTCGTCCAGTTTCTTTTGATCTCATTATTCTTTCTAAGTACTCTTATTATTAATGGATATTAATAATGGATATAAGATTTATTATTTATGGATATCAAGTATATTTAGGTGTCATTTCATTTGCATAGTTTAATGTACTTTCGATCGCTCGATCAAGTCGATTAAGTGGGGACCGTAGTAGTGAAAATATCCAATAATAAGGAATACAAATATTATAATTACACTAGATATATTCTCATCATTCACTAGTTATGTTCACGGAGACATACTACAATAACTGAGGTCGATATCCTCAATTATGCCCATGTTTTATCCCTATTACAATGTAAAATAGAAATGCCTTACGAATATATATGTCGTGATTATCAACTCCCATTTGAGCGACTTTTAACTAACAAATGTTATAACTTTTAAAATATTACCAAACATATAGCAAAAACTGTCTACTTGTTTTAATAATTAATTTACTAATTTCAGATAGCAGGCGAGGAAGTGTCGATGTACCCTCTACATATAACTTGAGGAATGAAGAGAAATGAACCCATGAAGAGGTTATAAAACTACCAACGAAGTACTTGTGCTTTGGGAATATATATTACTATTGACCATTTAGACCATTTTTTTCAGGCTTTCTCTTACGTCTTATTCATAAACGTGAAATAAGCTTCATATAGTTAAAGGTCATAAGGTCATAACAAGTGACATGACAGCGATGATAATATATATGAAAATATTCATAAAATAGCATTAAATACAGATAAAAAATTATCAAAGGGATTCTAACAATGCTTACGATTTTACTAATGTTTACCACCTTAATGGCACGTTCGTATACTATTAATGAACTAAATATATTTAAACATTCTCTTGCCAGGAATCGAGCCAGATAAATTTTTACACTTATTAACATCAAATAATAAATAGTTATCTATTCACTGTACTGAGTCGTCCATTGAATGACCTTTAATGTAAACAAAAATTTCAGCTTAGAAATTTAATGCTCCATTGTTATCTAATGACTGATAGATAGATGTGATAGATATGCATCACCTAACGTAGGCTATGTGA